TCAACAGCGTGCAAGGCAAATGCCCTACCTGCTGTGCTATCCCTCTGGCCTGCACCTGCACACTTTTGACCCGGACAGTCACCTGACAATCTGCTGCTGCTGTTGCACCAACAGTCTCACGAACACATTCGGCAGACCTCACTTTACACCCTCAGCAAGTGGGGACAGCACAGCGCTCCCCCCTGGGACCAGATCAGGCCAGTGTCCCCAAGGTCAGGAAGTCTCACCCCGGCCCTGGACTTGCAGTTGCTGGTGAGAGAAGGAGACCAGATGAACAACTGCACAAAGCAAAAGTCACAAAGGACCCTCAGGAGCTCCCAGATGTCGGGAAGAAGGTCCACGGGGCTGAACTTTGCCCCGACTACAAACCCCAAGAGGCCTGTGTTGTCAGGTACCACACTCTGAACTGGCCCAGGGTCCGGAGTGATAGCACAGCAGGTAGGGAATTTGCCTTGCACGCGGCTGACCTGGGTTTGATCCCTGGCATCCCATAGGGTCCCCCGAGCACTGTCAGGGGCAATTCCTGAGCGCAGAGCCAGGACTAACCCCTGAGCATCGCTGGGTGTGACCCAAATAGCAAAAAAAAAAAAAAAAAAAAAGAACTGACCCAGCTTTGAAACAGGCTCAGAAAAGGCAAAGCTGCTTCAGCCCAGTCCCCTGACATTTGTTTTGGCCACTTGTGGTCTCCAGGTGGGGTTCCAGCATGTGTGTGTGTGTGTGTGTGTGTGTGTGTGTGTGTGTATGTGTGTATGTGTGTGCGCGCGCCCTGCTGAGGCTGCATGGCCTGCTCTGAGTCCCTCTGAGTCTCTTTCCAGTAGCTGAACTGGTTCCTACAGCACCTTGCAACCATACTGAGCCAACCCAAGCCAGCAGTGACAAGTCACCCCTCTCTTATCCCACTGCCCAGCCCCAGAGGGTCTGGCATTTGCCATGGAAACCACCTTTCCTGGCTCCTTCCCCGGAAGGGAGGGCAGGACCCCCCCCCTCCATCTTGGTCCCTGCTGCACCCAGCGTGCATGCCACACCACCACACCTCGGTCAGTGGGGAGAGGAAGTCTTGTCCCTGTCTTGCACCGTTTCTGACCCCATCCCCCGTGACATGGTTATCACCAGCACACCGCTAAGGGCGAGGGCACCTAGGGACAGCCTCTGCTTCCCGGAAGGCCTGCTGCCAGCCGAGGAAAGACAGAACCCCACCGCGCAGGCCTAGGCAAGCTGAGCCAGCAGTCAAGGCGGCGGGCAACACCGGGCAGGTCATTCACAGGGAGGGTCCGCGGCCTTTACATTCTGGACTCTGTCATGTGTGCCCCGGCCTCTCACCAGGCAAGAGGGTGACACCACACAGGGACCAGGCGGCACATCTGGCTGCTTCCCAGGGGGTCTCCCCAACAGCTGGCCTCCTTCGTTTGGCTGGCTTCCTCCGGGCTGGCCAGCGAGCCAAGCCCAGGCTTTCAAGCCCGAAAAGTCCTCCCGGCAGGGGTGCTTGGAGGGAGGCTTGGAGGGAGGCCCGAGGGATGCGCCTCCAGGTTTAACCACTTAATCCCCAAAGTACCTGCCAAGAACCAGTTAGCCCGTCTGGCGGTGGGGCCGGCCGGCATTAATTCATCCTGGCAGGCTCCTGCCGGCCCATTATCTGCCCAGCTCCTGACCACGCCGCCCCTGGGCCTCCAGAGTCCCCCCTCTCCCCTTCTCCCGAGTCCCAAGGCAAGAGGCTACCCACCCCTGACCCCCTCTCCCAGCTCGACTGCTCGGCTCCATTCTCTCTCCCTCCCCAACCCCCAAGGCGCACTCCCCGCCCTCCCACGCCTCCCCGCGCCAGCCCCGCACCATAAAGCCTCTTTTGTTCCCGGGAGCTTCAAGCTGCGACTGGTTAAATCACACCCAGCCTCCTCCCAGCCTCCCCCAGCCTCCCCAGCTCTGCCTCCATTTCCCCTCAGATACCATTCCACCCTTGGATGGGCCAAGACACCAGGCACTCCACTCAGGTTTTTGTTTGCTGTTTTGTTCTGGGGGCCACACCCCGCGATGCTCAGGACTTGCTCCTGGCTCTGTGCTCAGGGATCACTTCTGGCAAGGGTTTGGGGATGTTATAGGGGACAGTAGGGATTAACTCCTGGTTGGCTTGGAGCAAGGCAAGAGTGCTCCCCACTGCCCTCTCTCTCCAGCACCTGGCGCCAGGCTCCTGACAAGGCTGTGCCTGTCCATCCCCCCAGACCTGGGAAAAGCTCGTCTCCAGCTTCAGGTACAGCTCCGAGAGGCCAGGTCCATGCCTGTCACGCTGCCAGCCAGCTCGTGAACAGGGACTTCAACCCAGGTTCTCTGGTCCCTGAGTTCAAGCTTTTAATCATGGAACTCGACTGGCCTGTCGTCGGAAGGGCAGGCAGAAACTGCTGGATTGCCAACACTGACCACACTAATGTCCTCCTCCAGAGACCCTGTATGTGACAGTGTCCATGCTGACATTGTTCCTAGGGGAAATGAAGTTTCCGTGGGGAAAGGCTTTGGGTTCTTTGTGTGGTGTGTGTGTGTGTGTGTGTGTGTGTGTGTGCGCAGTGTGTGTGTGAGTATGTGTGTGCGTATGTGTGTGTGAAATTTACTACTGTGATCTTGCATTCAGCTATGCTCCTTCAGCCTAAGAGAATAAATGCCTGGGCCCAGAGAAAGTCCAGGGCCTCAGACACAAATCTTACATGGGGCTGACCTGGGCTCCATCCGGCACTGAGTATTTCTGGGGGCAGCCCTGGAGACAACCCCTTCCTCCCCACCCAGCACTGCCCCCAAATCAGGATAGGGAGTAACGCCCTGCACGACTGTCAGGGAGAGATTGGGGTCTCCTGAGCATTGCTTCGTAGTCTACCCCCAAAGGGAAAAGCCCCTCCCCTCGGAGGCTGGCATAGGTCTGCCTGGAACACCTGAAGGGATGCCATGAGCCCGCCCACTTTCCCTCTGGACTTGGAAAAGGGGAAAGGACCCCATTCGGGTGGATTTGCTTTCACTTCTTTAGAATACAGGAGGTTGGAAAGAGGGGTTCCCCACCACCACCTCCTACCCCCCACCGCGCAATTAAGCCCGAAGCAGGAGAGAGCTGGAGGCTGGGCTGGGCAGGAAGTTGGTAGTGGGAAGATGACCGAGGGACAAGGCCTGGGCTAGGGAGGGGCCAAATCTAGGATGGGTGGGCACATGGGGGGTGGAACCCACTGACAGGAGTGTCAGCAGGGACAGGGCACTGGAGGTGGAGGCTCCTGGGGGCCTGGGTGAGGGGGCACAGCAGGTGCAGGAGAACCCCAGGGGGGCTGAGAAGGTGGCTTGGGGCCAAGAGACTGAGGTAGAAGCCAACGAACCAAGGGAGAACCAATAAACCAAGGTGACAATGATTTGTCCGCCAGAGCAACTGGGGGTGGGGGCACGGGCGGGAGGGGATACCCAGGGGCCAAGCGGAGAGAGTGCGGGCGGGCACACAGGATCCCGCGGGCTGGGCGCCCCAGACCCCCATCGCCCAGCGCCTGGAGGGGGCCTGGGGGGGGGAGCGCTCCCTCCCACATTGCCCCAAAGCGCCTCTTTGTACGTCCACGCGACTCCCTTCCCTCCACCCACCAGCGTGCAACTTGCCTTCCCGGCTGCTGCTTTTGCTCCAGCTCGCGACTCTCCTCTCTTTCCAAGTCTAGCCGCCGGCTGGTGTTTTCTTCCTCCCACCTTATTTCCGCTTTCCCCAAAATTGCACTCGGGGGTTTCCCGCCTCCCGCTCGCCTCCCTCCTTCACCTCCACATGCCGCATCCGAAATACTGCGGGTCCGCGCACCCCGCTCCGTCTCCCCCTCCCCGCCCCGTTCAACGCCCCCCCACACACACACACATACGCTGTCTCTTCCCACCCAAGGGAGCCCCGAGTTCCTCTCCGAGCCCAGGCGCGGAGAAGCGGATGGGACCTCCAGGAACGGGGCACACAGCGCCCCGAAGCGCGCACCTCTTGGCGCCAGCGCCCTGGCGGCGCCCGGCCCACGCGACATCTGTCGCCCGCGCTCCCGACTCACACCCCGCGCGCCCCCGCAGCTCCCCGGGCGCTGCCACCCCCCACGCTCCGGCTGCCGCCTCTCCCCGCGGGCTCTCGGGCCTCGCCTGGCGGCGCCGCGCCAGCTTCCCCCGACCTCCACCCGGGCGCGCATCCCCGGGACTGTCGCCTCGGGCCTCCCCGCCTCGCTCCCCCGGGTTCCAGAACCAGCAAAGACGGTTCTCGCCCGTTCGCTCCGCTGGAGCGCTCACCGAGGGTGCCCGTGGTCCCCAGGGGCTGAGGACTTCGCTGCCCCTTGCCGTGCCCGGGGAGCCCCGGCCCTCGCCCCATCCCAGCACGCAGCCTCCGGGGCTCCACGCCCTCCAAACAAGCCCTCCGCTAACAGGGCCTAGCACTCAGAAAAGGCGCGACAAATTCTCTTTCCGCACAGCCACGGCTGCCCCCTTAAAGTTTCCCTGAAAGCCTCTACATCCCAGCCCGGTTTTGGGGGGATCTTGGGGCGGGGAGCGAAAAGGGGAGGCTCTCCTTCACGCTCCGTCGACGGGACGCGTCTGCGAAGACAGAAGTTGTCGGAGCGAGCGGCAGAGCGCACGGGCCTTGGGAGGCGGCGCGAGCCAGCCCGAAACCGGGGGGCGGCGAGATGCGCGCCGGGGGGTCCCCGAGCGCAGGACGCAGAAAGTGGAGAAGGGGCACTGGGGGAAGAGGAGCGGCAACTCGGGCTGCTTGGGGCGGGATGGGGAACTTGCCTTGACCTCCCCCCGCCCCCAACAGCGCGGGACGCCGCGGCCTCAATCGCACACCCGCTCCGGACGGGCCCCGCGCGACCCGCGGCGCGCGAGGAGGCGGGGGGCGGCCCTGGCACTCGGAGGGACGCGGGGTCCGGGAGCGGGAAGGGAGCGAGGCCGAGGGGCGGCGGGCGGGCGCGGGGCGGGGATGCTCGCGCCGGCCGAGCCTCCCCCGCCGCCCGGCGCTCGCGCGCTCGCTCGCGTACCTGTTGCTCGCTCCAGCTGGGTCTCGGCTCCGGCCCCTCCACGCAGCCCCGCGCTCCTACAAGTTCCGCCTGCCGAGCAGCCAGGCCGCCAGCGCCGCCACCTGCGCGGCCGCGCACAGCCAGGGCCAGTAGGAGCGGAGCGCGCCGGGCGCCCGCGCCCCCCGACCCCGCGCGCGGCGCCGCCGCATCGTGCGCTGGTGCAGCTCGTCGCCCAGCGCCTTGAGCCGCGCGGCCGTGAGCTGCGCGGCCGCCGAGCGCAGCCCCAGGCGGCCCGCGCTGCAGGCGCACACGGCCGGGGGCCCGCGGCCGCGGTGCAGGGGGCACGGGCACATGACCGGCTCGCCGGGTCCTCCCCGCGCTCGGGCCGCCCCTCGCCTCGGCTCCCTCCGGCCTCCGCGCCCGCCCGCGCCGCGCTCCAGCCGCCGGGGGCCGCCCCTGGACACCAAGTTTCTCCCGGTGTTGTGCGTTTGTTGTGCTGACGGCGCTATTATTAATTAAAGTGTCACATGGTGGAGGGGGGCGGGGAGGGGGTTACATCATCCGGCCCCCCCGGGGGGTGGGGGGGCTGCAGGCAGAAGGAGCCGAGAGGTAACTTTTAACCCTCGCGGCGCCGGCGGCGCGGAGGCGCGCGCCGGGGTGGGGGCGCGGGAGGCGCCCGACCCCCCTCGTCCCCCCGCTCCCGGGCGGAGATCCCGGACCGAGGGGCGGAGGGGTCGCGGGGGGACCTCGGCGGCGAGGGAGGGCGAATTGCATCTCCCTCCTCTTCTTTCTTTTATTTTTTTTCTTTATTTTCCCTGCCCCTGAATTCGGCTTCCGTCGCGATGTGGTTCGCCGTTTCGGAGGAAGCTGTTCTCGCATTGGGCTGCATTATTCAAAAATATTCCGAGGCTATTGTTTTGTGGCGGGGGGGGGGGTGGAAACGGCATCGCCGCAAAAGAGCCAGATTGCACCCGACTTGCCCATCGCAAGTTGCAGCCCGCACACAGCACCTGTACGCTTCGGATTGGGACCCCTTCCCGACACAGACCCACCCCTCCCCCACCCGCGGGGGACCGAACCCGACGCGCTCCCGCGCACCCTCGGCGCTGAGCACCTGGGTGCAGGAAGATGGGGTGGGGGGTTGTCAAGGGTCGGTCCTTAGCCCCTTAGCCGGGGCTCAGGGATGACATGTTCATTCGCGGCCACACACCCGCACCGGGTGAGACCCTCACCCGGGCTTTCTAGAGGGGAACTTATGGGGGTCTGCTCTCTTGTGAGCTGTATTTACTAACCTGGGTTACAGATTCTACTGAGGATCCGGATTGAAGGTGCGGAGGAGCCGCTAAGAAGCTGCTGGGCCGGGTCCAGGGTCTGGGGTGGGCGTTTCAGGGGCACCTGAACCCCTATCTCCATCCAGTCCCCCTTCATTCACTTCCAGGCTAGAAAGTCTGGCGTTACCCTGCCAGGGAGAGAGATCCTTTGGAATAAAGTGGGTCTCTGGGGTTCAGAAAACGAAGGGGCCGCATCCCACTTCCCTCTCCTGGGCAAGGCTCTCTGGCCTCTGCCTTGAGGCCACGTTCCTCCCAGGGCTCCCTTCACCCAAGTCTGGATGTGGCTTTTGGTGACCTGGAAAAGATTCTTCAAGAGGAGGCACATGGTTTGGGTGTGGATTTATCAGCAGAAATGTCCTCTTGGCCTGTACCACAGTTGGGCTCAGAGCCCAGCTCTGCCGGCCAATCTATAAGGCCTTACCGGTCAGCCAGCCCCACCCCCATAACCATAATGGCCAGCCCTGGGCTCAGACCCTTGCCTCTGCTACCGGAAATGAAAGGCCCCAGTAATTCAAGGGGTGGAAGGTGTGTGTCTGTCTGTGTGTCTGTGCGTGCATGCGTGCATGTGTGTATGTGCGCGTGTGCACATTCTCACCATCCTGTTTGGCAGATGGGGAAACTGAGGCGCAGCTAGCTCAGACCTCTTGTCCAAACTCACAGCGAGTGCAAAGTAAGCTTGTGTCTAAGGAAATCAGGCAGCGCCAGCCCTCAACTCTTAAGCATGGTTTTATACTGCCCCCTGTAATCTGGGAATAATAATACCTCCCGCCCAGGACTGGGGCTGAGATGAAAAGCGAGAAACACGTGCCAAGCACCTGGCAGGCAGCGGGGCCCTGGATAAACCTAGATTCCCTTTGCTTCTGGCCAGATCCTCCCTCCCATCCTCCTGGGGCTCACCTCCTTAATCCCCCCTAGTCTGCACAGCGGGGACCTGATCCACCACCGGGTGCCTTGTTCCAAGAAAGAAGATACAGTGTCTATTGAAAAAGCCCTTTGGATTTAAGTCGAGCGATTCCCTCCACCGCCCGCCCCCTTTTTAATCTACACGCTTTTAACGGCTCACTTCATGGACATTAATTTTAATGGGACGATTATTACCGTGTTTGGAAGCCTGCCCCTCAAATGCTGGGCTCGCAAGGTGCTGCTGGGTCGGGTCCCAGCCGCCTGATGCTTTCTGTCGCACAGAGAGGGGCCTTGGCCAGGGGGACATGTCTCCCACTCAGTGCGGGGAGAAGGGGTGACCCAAAGTGGGGCATGCCACTCTTTGCCCAGCTTTCCGGCCCGCTCGGCAGCAGACAGTCCTGAACGTGTTCCCCCTGGTAATGTTCAGCCTGGCCCACCACTCACTAATGGGGAACTTGGCCTCGAGACCAGGCTTTGTGGGGCCTCTTTCCCAAGAAGGGGGGCGGGGAGCAGGCCAGGCCCTGAGCTCATGCCTGTCACCTCGCCAGCACTCACTAAACCGTGCTCACGGTTGAAGGTAAATCACGTGGTCCTTACTTGAGGCACTTTGAAGAGTGGCAGAGGGCGGTATCCCCCCAACTCCACGGGGCTTCTCCGGTTGTGAATTGGCAGTTCCGTCGTCCCGAGAAGCACATTCTCCGGGGGAACCACCTAATACTCTTCTGACACTTGAGTCAAATGAATTTTTTATTTCAGCGTTTCATTTAATAAACCCTTTAATCGTGCTAACTCGGTGCCAGAGGCTGTTCTGATGCTTTAGAACTTCGACGTGACTTCTTGAATGCTGTGTGTAACCCTAGGCCCAAGGACAGGGACCCCGAGAAGCATGTTTTATGGAACAGCAGAACGAGGCAGAGTCAAGGAACTTAGCTCTTGTTGCTGTCTGGTTCCAGAGTCATCTCTTTGTAGCGTTATATCACCACTGGACTAAACTCAGCCTCCCCCAGCCCCCAATTCATCTGCAGTAGTACTAACCCCCAGTTCCTCAGAATGTAACTATGTTTGGATCCTTACAGAGATAATTGAATTAAAATGAGGTCATTTAAGTGGGCCCCTGTCCAATATCCTAATCCATTATGGTCTCCTTACATGAAGAGGGGGAGACACCAGGGGCCAAGAAGACAACCATCGGCAAGCCTAGGAGAGCATCTCTGAATCACCTCACGCTGCCAACTGAGGGGCCCCAGGGTTCAAGCCTCACACATGGAAAGAAACAAATTTATATGTAAGCTACCCAGTCTGTAGCACTTGGGATGGCAACCCTGGTAAATGAGTAGTTAATGAGGCTTGAAAAAATGACCTAGAGGTTAAAGAACATTCTGGAGAGGCCCACAGTGATAGTACAGTGGGTAGGGTGTTTACCTTGTACACAACCAACCTAAGTTTGATTCCAGACTGTCTGTAGTACTGTCCTCCCCTTGTTCATTGATTTTCGCCAGTAACATCTCTATTGTGAGACTTGTTACTGTCTTTGGCATATCGAATACGCAGGGAGCTTGCCAGGCTCTATCATGCGGGCAGGATACTCTTGGTAGCTTGCTAGGAATCGAACCCGGGCGGCTGCGTGCAAGGCAAATGCCCTACCCGCTGTGCTATCCTCCAGTCCTTAATCCCAGACATCCCACATAATCCCCTGAGCCTACCAGGAGTGATCCCTGAGCACAGAGACAGGACTAAGCCTTATGCACTACTGGGTGTGGCCCAAAAACAGACAACAACAAAAAAAGAATAAGAAAAAGAAAGGAAAAAAAACGTTCTAAAAAGCCCTACAATTGGGGCTGGGAATCGAACCCAGGTTCAATTCCCAGCATCCCATATGGTCCCCTGAGCACCGCCAGGGGTAATTCCTGAGCACAGAGCCAGGAGGAACCCCTGTGCATTGCCGGGTGTGACCCCCCCCCCAAAAAAAAACAAAGCCCTAGAATTAGAATGTTCTATTCTCCAGACTGTGTGAATGTTTTTACCATTGGTGGCGTGGTTAGACCTTCTGGGTTCTTGAGGACTGAGTTCTAGGACAACGTTTAAGAAAGGAGGAATTATAGGGACTTATTTTGAGAAAGAGCTCATGAAATCCAGTTGACTTCTTTGTTTAGGGAACACTCCCTCCCAGCTGCAAGGATGCACAATCTCCCTCTTGCAGAGTGAAGAAATAAGACATTTTCCAGTTCATAAACATTTCCTACGGCACCACATCGCTTAACACTTAAAAAGCACAGCAGTGCTCAATAAATATTGTTGAGTCAGTGAGCGAGCGCTGAATAAATGAATGATCAGTATCCTAATGTGTCATTTTCTTCCCAACGTACACAGTACCTAGAATTATCATCCATGACTTCAAATTTCTTGCCTCCGATCATTCCCTTACCTCCTACGGAAATCAATACGCCGGCATTTCGAGCAGGAAGCAGGGGGATTATTTCTTCTCTTTAATTAAAACAATAATTACCTATCCTGGTGTTTGAGACCAAGTGAGCTTTACCTTATGGTGTTTTAATTCTTGTGGCTTGGTGAAGTGGTAAATGAATGAACAGCTGTTGCCTCCTCCAAACAGCTGTGTTTCCTGAAGCCATGTATTAATGCCAGGGCCAAATTTGCTGCCAAGAGTCAGCCTGGTGAATAACAAGAGTTCTTGATTCAAAGTCAGAGTTCTAGAGAAAAGACTTGGTTTGAACTGTAGCCCTCGCCCGCCCCCCACTCCCACCCCCACCCCGGGCCTCCTCCTAGGGAAGAGCTGGGTGTTTGGGGCGTTGGCTCCACCTCTCAGCCTTCACGTTCTCATCTGTGAAGTGGGAATAATCATTGCAGTACGGATACTTAATTTGGGTCTTTGTGAGGATGAAAAGAGAATGTATTGCGTGTTGGGCCAAGTGCTTGGCACTCAATTAATGTTATTATGGTTCTGCTTGATATATTGTGATTATTAAGCAACCACTTAAGAAACAGAACAGGGACCCTAACCTAAACCCGCTGGGGGAACAGGGGTTCAGATTTCAGCGAGTCTGATATTCAATTACATCACAGCTATTCCCAGGAAAGTCCTGGCCTCTTAAAAGACCCAGGACCGCCTTCGCTCATCTCTCTCTCCTGGTTGTGGCGTTTAACCCTCTGCTAACCTGAACACGCAGCCGAGGGCGCGCCTCTTCTCCAGAGATCTCCTAATTATTCATTTGCTATCTCTCCCCTA